AGTGCTTGTTTTAATGTGCTTTTGTTTGACTGTGCTAATGACAGCAATTTTGTGCTTCCATTCATATACTTACACTTTGATTGTAACTTCGCGCGAATTCGGTTACGTTCTGTAACCAAGCTTGTATCCTGGCACGATCTCGGTATCCTTTCGATATCACGAGATCGCCAGCAAATACATATTTCGACTTGGTCCATTACTTGCCTGCTGGTATTTGGCTTATCGGAGATTTTATGGGCTTCTTTGGTTACATCCAACCTTCGCCTTCTGATTTATCTGGCACGTGTTTCTTGGTAGCGGTGTTCATATTCAACCTCGACTCGACGCCACGCTACAAGCTAAAAGATGGTTATAGTGATTTAAGCAAAAATACTAATCAGTATACATATTTTGTGCCAGAGGCACATCAAACCTAGATGGAACCGGAAAAGCCAAAAACCTTACAGCTGGTCTTAACCTGGATTTATGCTGACTTAAATATACCACATAAGAGCAAGTTAAGTAAATGAACCCTTTTTCTAGTGTTGATTGACATTTTAGAAAAGCCGTCAACGGAACCCTATTCGGCTAAAACGCGCTTGTTCCAACAAACATAATTAAAAGACATACATTGACATGCTTAAAAATGAATAAAACACTTATGCGAGAAGTGATTTAACCTCAGTAGTATACTAATCAAGACCCCGACATCTACATTTTGTGGCTTTTCCCCAGTCATACAAAAACTCATATCTCCCCCGAAATTCTGTTTGAACATTAGAGAAAAACCTGAAACCTCTCAAAATATTTTGAGGTTCTCCCCGAAATAAGCTGAAATTTCGGTAAAAATCCCAGACCAGGGGAAATTTAGGGGGTTTGTCGCATTTTCCCAAAATCGGCAGATTAGGACATTACTGGCGGAATGTCAAAATCATCACCACTTATGTTAAAGTATCCTCACATATAACTATTGACACCAAATATCTTGTGTAATACTAATTATGACACGAGCAGTTACCGGAAATAACGAGGGCTTCACTGGGCCCCACTGTATGTATATTCCCCATTAATTCAAGTCAAAAACGTGCAAATGCCGAGTATAATTATGCTTAGTTTACAAAAACAAATATTAACGAAACATTTACTTTTAATTATACTCTCATTTATTTTAATAACAAAACTTACACACGAACTACTGTTAAAGAAAGCACTAATTGGCTGGATGCACACTTGTACAATGTATCGCAAAGGCATTGCATACAAACATGAAACATGAACCGTTCATCCCATGAACAACAGGTTAGCTATCACATTGCTCCCCATGAATCGACAGAAAACCTCGAAATCTACTGCGACGTAGGAAACACTTCTGGGACTTGTTCCTATCAACAGGCCACGAATCGTTGAAGTACGAATATCCAAAACTCCGTAGTATATGTAAAACGACCAGAAGCTGCACCACTTACAATCGACAAGGGACACACGATAGCGGCAATTGCTCAAAACTATTGTTTTCGTACATTAGGCTAAAACTTTAGCGTAGTAATAGAATTCCAACTTGATCGTATCACAGATCTGGGATTTTATCAAACTGTTTGAGCAAAGTCTACTCTACAGTTATGGACAATAACACTTCCTGTAGCCATTCCACTGAGATACCAGCTATAGTGTCTACACATCTGACTAGGGGTGCTGTTTTTTAATTGTCCACTGACCACAGACCTAGTAAGACACCAGGTCCTTATGGACTAGATACACAACTTCTGTCACCGTTCGCATACACTATTTCAGAAATACTCACGATGCCGTTCAACATGTCTGTTTCAACTCTCTATGGATTGAAAGAATGCTATCGTCAGCCTTATATTTAAATGTGGAAAGAGACGGATGATGTCTGACTACCGTCCTGTCACTCCTGATCAGTACAGTAATCAATTCATTTTAGAATATAACGGTGGCTGGGTTACCAAGTCACACAGAAACATGCAATCTGTTAACTCCTGAGCAATACTGGTTGCTTTCAAAATAAACATCTATGCCTAACTAACTTACTAGTTGCGAGAGAAAATTGGACATCCTGGTTAAAAGTGATGTGCTCCAATGCACCATTTTCAGTCCCTTGACTTTTCTACTCTACATCAGCGAACTACCGAGACTACATAAGTTTTCGATATTGCCAACTGGAGACGATGCCAAGATCTGGAAGAAGTAAGAAGTAGGGCTGGTCAACTTCATATTCAAGCTGACCTAGACGAATTAGTTCTAGAAAATGTGTACTGATGCACAGTGTACGCGGCAATGTTTATCAGTATGTTGTCGGCAGTATATCGCTCCCATGGGGGTAGGAATATAAAGAATTGAGTACAATATTTATTCATGACTTGGAAACAACTGTGCATTGCGTTCTGGTAGCTACCATAATTTTACGAATGATATGGTGTCTTTGCCTAGCACATAAAAGCTTGGACGATGATATATTTCGGATTGCATGCTCAACGTATTTGTGATATCACTAAGAATATTGCGCCAAAACACCTAGTCCATGTCATACTAAGAACGCTATCACACTGGAGGGTGTTCAGCGTGTGGTAACGGAGTTAGTGATGGGTATTTCCGAACTCTTCTACGATGAACGCTTAGAACTCACTGGTCATTCAGCTTGTCACCTTGTCACAACGCGAAATGACCTGATATTTGCATCACTTACGCTTGTTAGCCCTCATGGAAGAGCGTAGTTTGTTAACTACGATTTTTCAACATTCTCTCTAATAGTAGCTTTTCTCAAGTTGCTTCCACTCTCTATTCATTCTTTTGATGTTTGCTTCCAATTCGCGACATAATGTATTCCTTGGCCCGACAGTTTTTCTTTTCCCATCCGCTAATTGGGAGCTTGCTTTCTCATGTATTTTGACGATTTCCACAGGAGCACAGACTTATGGGTAACTGTATGTCATGACTTGAAAATGAGTGAGAATTACAGCCCTGCAGCAAGTAGAGGTTTTCGAGTGTTATGTTTATGTAGAACATCAACGTATACGATATATGTCGAATGATTGGGAGCCTACTCCAGTTAGACGGGAATGTTCTGACTAACATCTGACTTCAAAGTCACACCTCGCGGTCAGCACCTAACAAGGTTTACGCCTCTCTCGTATCAATGTACTATTGCTGCATTGAATATCATATAGCACAAATGACGTTTTTACAGAAATATGTTAGAGTGGGTATAAGCAAGTGTGACCACCACTTCATGGGCCAGTCCTTGGCGTACGATTAATTGATGCTCGTTGGTTGTCTTTGACCATGATGGGGATCAATGAACTATTCGATGTTCAGTGACTCAACTGCTGGATGATTTGTCTAGGGCTCAGTGACATTTCACCGGCCCTATAGTCAGTTAAAATGAGCATTCAAATGCCTTTATTGTTATTATTATTATTATTCACAAGCACTTTATAGGTAGGTAAGTGTTGTGAAGAAACCGTCTCGAGTTTCTTCAAATACACAAGTTTCAATAATGCCAGCATTATATTTGCCATATTTGAGAGCGAAAAAATATAAAAACGATAATACAATAATAATAAATCAGGTTCTGTGTAATTGAGAGGAATACTGAGTTAAATTTAAAGAAGGAAAGGGAGAATATAAATAAATGAGACATGAAGTAAGCAACTAGTTTAATAAGCGTGTTTATGAACACAGTACAGGAATAGAAGTCAACGTATGTATTGCCAAATCAGTAACAAAAATAAAGTAAATAAATAAATAAGTAAGGAAAACAACTTATTATTGCTGCAAGATATGACGTTATAATAAATGTTTGTGCAGTCATAATTCGGAGTAATGCAATGAAAGTCTCAAATAAGTGCAAATGATGTTTCGAACTTAATATAAAGACATATTTAAGTCAACATCAACACCACTATGTAAGAGCAGCCTGTCCATTTCTTAGTAAGGATGATAACATAGTCAAGCGTGTTCAACCTGTGAGAGCAAAGTTAGTGACGGGTTCGTATTATAGAATCCGTGCTGACTTTATATTAGTATTCTGTATCTTTGAAAACGATTTAGGTGTTGATGTTTCTTGTCTTTTTGATTCTTTCATTACTGATCACCCACGAGGCTATGGCAAGAAGGCTTAAAATCTGAGATCCAATAAAGTCCGAATTGGGTTCCGTTTTTCTAATCTAGTGATCAGTTACTGGAATACCCTGCCCAAACAAGTGGTATCAGTCCCATCAGGAAAAATTTTTAAGGAGAAGCTTGCATTCTTTCATAAAACAAGTCGCAAAGCCTAATACATGTACACTGACTTACTATACTTGTTATAAAAATCTGAAGTCTTGAAGATGACACAGGTATTCAGTGTTTGACAACGCTTCTACCAGTAACACCTTCTAATATAATTCGTTCCCACCAAGAGAAATCAAAAGACAGAGTAAAGGAGATCGGAAGAGTGTATGTGGCGATTACCAATATATCGGAATTCTCTGATTTAATCTGGCTAGCGATTGCGGTAGATGTTGAGCACAGCGTTACCACACGTGATCTGGTGCAAATGCATGACCGAGCGCCTTCAGCTAGATGAGTCCATTAAAACACATGGTCAGCGTCCAATGTCGAAAACCTACGGAGCTATTTATTTTGGGGATTTATTTACGGCTACAGTCTGAATGAGTGGCAAAACGTACTCAATCGTGATCACATGGGGGTGCTTGGCCAAAAGCCTTCAGATAAGCGTGTGCCCAACAAATATAATAAAGTAACATGAGCCTCAGGGACTTACGAAACTATTAACTTTTGGGATTTATTTACTCCTACTTACCTTGCGAGTTTACTCTCGAAGTTACTACTTGATCAATGCTCACAGTGCTAACGAATGCTTTTGTACTGCTGATGCATAGAAAAATAAACACGAATTATACAATGAAATGAACAGGAATACTTTCCCACTATCTAGAGCACACCCTAATGAATAAGGATTTTATTTTGAAGTTCAAAGTGGATTGAAGGTTGTCTGTGCTTTTGAGCCAAGTTTAAAATCTTTTAATGTCTACGGAATTATGCGACTCTGGTATATTCAGCAATGAGGATTGTGCTTTACTATCTCAATTAGATAGGTATGTGGAACAACCTATGGAAAAGCTGTTTTAAACTTATTTCCGTCATAAGAAGTTCGCACTGAAGCTCGATATTTGCCTGAACATATCCGAAGTCTGTTCGAAATACATATGTACACTGAGTCTTTAACGGTCCGAAACTGTCCAAATTCTTCGTCCTCAGTCTAAATCTGTCATTTAAGCTGTAATATGTGTTGCTTGTCCTATTTCACATTTTTCAGTTGAAAATATAGTGACATATATGTTTGGATGTGTTTCGTGTAGTGAATAACTCTCCTACCACAATTTTTGACTTGATACAAAAAATAAGCTTAAAGTCTTGTCTTGCTCGTACCTTGATCCGTCTTCTCTGTGTAAGGCTATGGTCTGGAGAGTACAATGGAGTTAAAGCAGTCAATAGAACAGTCTATATTGATCCTTAATAATAACATCACCTTGTGTTGCTTTCATCACAGTGTTAGCGCGAAGTAAATATTTATTCTACTTAGAAAGCCCAGTCGCCCAATTCTGAAATATAAGTAACGTCAGTAACCCCACGAACCGATATGTCGGTTAACCCTTTAGCCGTATTAGAGCCCATTGCTGTGCTAACCAACATATAGCTTTAAAATATTTTGTGGCTGAAAGTATATGGCGCGTGTCCTAAACTTCGGTCGATAGGTTTTCAATTCCCTATCCATCTCTACCTAGTACTTTACGTCTATTAGTATACTGGTATATACAGGCAATATTTCAAAGACATCAACATTTACTCACGAGTATTTGCGTGGTATGTGCTCAGCAAATTCGGAATGTAGAGCAATGTGAGACTATCGGGAGTGTCTAGTAGCACTCAAGTTCATCACGTTCATAACTGAACTTCGTTATTATCCAATATTTATTCTGACAAAATGAGTATATACCTGCATTCACACTACGTGGTGCGCCTTTGGAACTTATCGAAATTTCACTTTTTGGATAGTTGTGTGAGTGTTTGTTTAGTGGCAGACTGGTTAATCTAGACTTATTGCTATTCACAGAGACGTATGGTAATCTTTAACGCCAACGTGATGTGGATGACTGTTAAATGTTTTGTTCGTTGTCAGTGAGAGCAATTATTTTATATTCTTGTGAAACCTAATTTCTCTGAGTCAGTAATGTACGGTGACTGTGTATTAGGTCTTCATGATTTCCAGAAAATTGTTCACATCCAGTGGCAACACCGTGTTACTGATTTCAAGGTTTAGAAATGGGTGTTTTGGGTGCAATGACGATGATTTGATTGGTGCCACAATCTTGTAATACTAGCTTTGGGTTGAATTCCTTATATCTTTATTTTACCAATTTATTTCTGTGAAATCATTTGTTCGGTGTCTAATCTTTTCCACTACAAATTATGCTTTTATTGCCTCTACTGCTCTTAATTCACCCTTACACTCGTCTCGCTGCGCTAACGAGGTGCGATCTAAATTGATCCTGTCCATAATTCTCCGTCAGGGTCTCCCGATTTACTTATTTTTACTTTTTATCGCAAAAGTTTGGAATATTTCCAAGACAGGGAAACTACTCAATGTTTCAACTTAGACCGATGTTCATTTTTACCAGGTCTTATGTTATTTATTAGTATCCCTTAGCAATGCGTTATATTATTGGCTTTAATCAATTTAGATTCAGCTTGGTTTATATCCAGATATTTGAGTTAACAGTTCAATTTAAACTATAGTCACAACCTTTGTTTAGAGACGTTTAATTAAAATCGTTGAGCCCACTGAAATAACTTTTTAAACATGCGAAATGTTTTCAGCCTTGACCCTCTCTCTACGTTTCTTCAATCACTTGAAAATGCCGTTTCCAAAATCCGATGGAATACTTGCATATGGGCAAAACACATTGATTTTTAGAGCTGACTTTTATCGTAATCATATAGTCTCATATGTCTACTCTATACGGTAAGGCCAATAATATTCTCAAAGAGACTTTGATGTTGGATTCCGAACGTAGAAATTTCTCTAGGAAGTTGTATGTTTACAGAATGGAAACTTGTCATTTCACAGTATAAGACATTCATCAAAGAGACGATTTATTTCAAATACTTATGCTGAATAAATGACCACCTACAGCTTCGAAATTTTACAAGTTTAGGCTTGAACGTACATGATTGTTTTTTTGTCGCTTTATTATGGTATTTTTAATCCTTTTCAGCTTGGAGTTCGGTGTTTTTAAAGTTGACGCTCCCGAGTCACACGAACGTCGCAAACTATTGGAAAAGGTGAATTATGTTATTTAGTTATATTTTTCAATAGGCCGTCGATTACTTTGATAGTATAATCTCTCAGACTGTTCTGGAGATCGAGGAAGAGCGTGCTGTGGAGGAAAGCGAAACTCTTACCAAAGTCGAGGCGGGTATCATAGAGGAAAATCCGAACTCAGTACGATACAAAATATATGAGAAATACTCAGGACAGCTCGATAAACTTATTGAACCACAAGTTTATCTACATCTTGGTCATTTTCAGCTTCTGCTCAATCGTTTTGACGATGCTCTGTCTGCGTATCTTAAGTTTGAATCACTTTGTCCCAAGGAATCTTCTATTAACTGTCCCTTCCTGTATGGCTTAGGCCTGTGCTGTTTTCGCTTCAACGTATTCAACAGGTACGCTACTCACTGTTACTTCAGGCGTTTCTTTGTTCCAGGACTATCAGACTTTTTCAGCAAATTTTATATTTACAACCGTGGTTTCCAAAGTGTAAAGAAATACATATTCGTCTTGGCTATATATACAAGGTACAAAATAACTTCGAACGAAGTTTGAGACATTTTCGACAAGCTTTGAACGACTCAACACCTGCCACATTTAATCGGATTGAATGTTGGTTTATCTTTTAATTAACGAACTTAACTGTAGTACGGTTTCATATCGCTCATCTGTTCGAGGTGTGTGGCAAACCTAAACAGGCAAAGACCGAATACTTCCAATTATTGGATGTTGAGAAAAGCAGTGCTCCTTCACACATCCGCCATCTTTGTCTTCGACAATTAGGTATGTCATATTTTATTTATTCTTCCCTAATTTTTCCATTTTTAACTACATTGATCACTCAAGTTGTATTATTATGCTAAATTACTTAAGCTTACATACCTACTAACTACTGGTTTTGCAGAATAACGTAACATTCGAGGTATGCAGTGTGAATCGACCATATTTTTGTTACGAATGTAGAATTTAATCAACTGTTATGTCATATTTTAGTTTCTACATGTTCTTTCAAATGCACGATATGTGGATGACTCACCGGTTGTAGTCACTCCCTGATTGTTCGCGGTCGAGGTGCTACTTAAGAAATTGGGAGGGCGAAAAGGTAATATCTGGCTCTTAAACTGGGTTAGGGGTTCGAAAGGTCCACCCGGGGGGTTGGAAAACCTTGATTGCCATCAGTGGTGTATATGGGTCCCAAGATCCTGAGGGGACAGATGGCACATAAACCTATTCTTGGTCATCGGCTACCGTGGGATCGCATGCTCTAACGTTGCTCCACTGCCTTGTGGATTATACCTCTAGATTAAAGGCTCTGAAGTGACCCCGTAGGAAAAACACTTGCTCCGGTGTGGTTTGGTTACTCGAGCATTACCGTAGCCCATACACAAATCAAATAATATTGCACCAAGCGCTAGATCGATTGGATCTTCACTAACAGTCGGTTATGATCTGTTAGATTAGGAAGCTCTGTCAAAGTGAGAAATCGATATGGGTAGCGTAGTCTTTTTGTTATCTCTCCCTACGCCCCGACAGATTGCAGCCTGGACACAACAGTTAAGTGGTCTTTAGAAAGTGCGTGCGACAGATATTACAGTGCTACTCGCCATAGGTTTGAATGTTGATGTCGGGCGTCTAGACAGAGCACAGTCGACTAGGTGGCCAACGGGGACTTGTTGGTCTCAGGTCAGATAACGATGACCATCTGCTGCAACTGGACAGACTGCAACCTATTTCTGGCTAGCACTAACTGTCAGCACATTTATCATCAATGTGTCATCTGACGTCCTGCTTAGGGATCTTATGCCTGGACTCAGACTGACCACATCTCAATAAGTTACCTTTGTCATAATTGCGTACAAGACTGCTGCCCCCCATAGAGTACTTATCTAGACTCTGATCATGCCCTTGTTTGCTCTAATTTTACGCTTCAGCGGTGCATCGATGTCAGTTCATTGGTTGCACCTTCTGTTGAAACTAAATATCATACCAAGCTAGGTTCAACGGTAGCTGTCAACTCACCTACAAGCATAATTAGACACTGGCTACGTTTGCATGACGCCATGAAAATAGCGAGTAAAGTTGTGTATAGCTTTGCTAAACATTTTTGTTTGTTGTAGGTATTAATCTAATGATTGCAAATAACTGATTCATGTTACTAGAACACAACGACCCGTTGTTCGGTAGAATTTACCGCTTCTTTTGGACCGTTAAACATACTGTCTGTAGTACTTATCCAGAATCGATTCCGTTCAGTAACTTGATGAGTGGAACATTTAATAGAGACTGTTTCACTAAGAAATATCCGGAAATAAACAGTACGGAATTTGCTCAGTGTGTTTGCTACATTCATTTATATTAAACTCTTTCCTTGACTTTTGTGTGTGGGTACTACTACGGGCTGAGCAGTTCTAAGGTTAGGCACAAGGTTTAGTTTGCTAAAATAAACCATCCGATAGATCTAGAAATATATGTTGGTTGGGGGGTGTTAGTGGCATCTCGACATGGTAAATTGTGGAAAATGGCTTCTGGTGGGAGATTTCATGAGGTGTTATGAAAGATATCAGTAGAACTAATAAATCAGGAACGATCGCCGAATTCTAAATTTCAAGTAAAAGCCATCAAATAGAAAGTAATGATGTGTGTATGTTCGAATTTTTTCTCATGTAAGAATACTAGTTACGGGTGTTTACTTAGATGTTAGAGCATTTGACTTCCAGGCAATAAATTGCCGACTCCAACTCTCCACCTATCTCACCCTTTAAGTGTTGATGGTGTCTCTGGTCCTCAGGTGAAAAATGTGTCTTATCTGTGACAGCTTATGCTTAGATTCCGTACTTTGGATTTAAACAGTATTAGTTGTTAGCATTGAATTCCGAGTAGCACCTGACTGACTTGGGAAAACCAAGTAGTACACTATCAGATGTGAGTTTCTCAAAATGAAAAACTTTAATTTCAAGTAAAAAGTGTTTATTTTTTAAATTTTAGCTTGGCTTCACCACACAGGAGCTTTTGGATCAAAACCTGAATCGCCAAACGAAAAAGGCCTAGATGTTCAGTGGCTTCAAAGTGCTTTGGAGTTAGATAACACCAATGGCAAAACCTGGTACTTACTAGGCCGTTGTCAAGCTGCTTTAAATCATGTTCAAGAGGCTTTCGCAGCATATAGAAGTTCTATAGATAAAACGGAGGCTAGTGCTGATACCTGGTTTGTTCTTAAAATTTCTTCATAGTTTAGAACTGTACTATTAAAAAATGTTCACTCTTTCGAAAGTATGGTGACAAATTGGTTACTTAAATTTTAATTTTAAGTAGTTATCAGCTAATGTTCCTGTTTTTTATCTACACAATAACTGTTTAAGTAGTTTAAAAAACATCAGATTCAATTAAACCATATTCATGTAAAACATCCACAAATGTGTAGTACTACTCGATTCATTTTTACTTTGGGAACATAAGAAAGGGACCGCAGTATTTGTAAAGTATTTTAATGATTCGGTAGGGCGAACAATATGCTTTGTAGACTTTAATTCTTTTTTGTCGTCTGATCTTCCCTACATCATATTTCAGTAAATACACTTGAATAAGGGATTTCTTAGTTTTCGTAGTTGAGTTCTCTGAACCAGAGGGTTTAACTGAAGAGCTTTCTTTGTCTTACCGGACGACATCACCAGTGGTCATTTCATTTTGTAATGAGCCTTTTAGTTATTTCGTTCCGGCGACATGGGGACTGTTTGTTTTCATAGGTGTCATTGTCTTCATCCATCATTCCATTCTCATTGATTATCTTTTTCTATTGATCTCTGACCGTCATGTGATCAATTGACCTTTTTCGTTTGGGTTAATAGATCGGGTACATGTCTATGTGTCACCCAATTACCGATTAGTCTGAACAGTGCACTTCTAGACAATTACTGTGATCCTTAGAATCTCCTTGATCCAGAATTTAAAAGTTTTTTTCAGTACTCATGTCCATGACTGTCTGTGTATATTGATGGGAGTGATAACAAAACGTGTCGCTTCATTCCTAGTATGTGTGCGTGTATGAGTGATTAAAGGAGGGAGTTCATTTTTTCCAATCCAGTGTTCGTCTCATTTGTTATTATTTATTTTGTGAATGATAGTGCATTTGTCTTTAATTGTTTTGTTATTCTATCTTTATAAGATGGAGTCGAGTTTTTAAACGATATCGATCCTAAAGAGTTTCAGAATTTTCATGTTCTTTACTTAGGTATTCTTCACGTATGACAATTATTCATTCCTCATTTTCTGTGGCTGATTTCATTACATTAGCTTAATTCTCATAGGACCTTTTGGTGAAGTTTCTGGGATAACCATTTTTACGGAAGACAGACAAGATGAAGTTCCCTAACTTTTCACCTAGTGAGAGTGCTGCAGTGGGTTTAGGCTTTTTCTTTTTTTGACTGTGTTAAGAAAAATAGTCACTGAAAAATTCTAGTTAATAACATGAAATATAATGTTCATTATCAATACTTTCAGTATTGGAACGTATAATCATGTGACCTTAGTTTCCTCTATGTTAAGGTTTATCGTAGTATACCAGGTCATACCATACTCATCACTTGAGACTCGTTATTTGGCTCCTATTTCACGAACTATGCGCGACGATCAGTGTGAAAACCTTATAGGCGTATTTGTTTTCTCTGGTCTTGCCTTCGTAATCTTATTATGCATTTACAACCATTGGATTTATATCTTGTGAAATTCTTTTCAAAGTATTCTGTTATTCTTAATGCTAATGTTTAAGTGTTTTGCCTACCGTCAGAGATGCCATTCTTTACCGTTTAGTTTGTGAAGAATATGTAGTCCATTATCTCCTATTTACTAATTTGACACACTCCAGAATGTTGTTGGAAAAACCACTCGACATAATTCCAGCCCTTAAAAGCACATTCCTTTGACCAATCGCTTATATTTTCGTGGAGTAATTAAGTATGTTTTATTGATGGGTTTCAGACATGGAAGTTTCCTAGAAAAAAGATCCATGAGTTGAATGAAATTTAGACAATTAGTTTTAAGTCAATGTTAATATAATTATTTTCGAAGCATATATTGATGTAAAGAGTACTGTTAGCATTTGATTTGACTATCCTTGAAAATGTTTCGTATTTTTCCTTACAATATTGCGTGTCTGATTCGGAGGATTGGTAACAAAGATTTTATACACGTTGATAAGAATGTAAGATAAAAACCATCCTTTTATTTATGTACTATTTTTTCCGTAGTCAGCAATTTTTTGTAAGTGATTCACTATGTTTCTGTGAGTTTACACTATTGGTTATCCCTAGACATTTATTAACTAATGTATGTTTATGATTCTTCTGTAACTTTTTAGGTGCTCTATCGGTGTGCTCTATCAAGAGCAAAGTCAACCGATGGATGCTCTTCAAGCATACTTTTGTGCTGTACAATTGGACAAATGTCATGTTGCAGCTTGGGCCAATCTGGGTACTTTATATGAAAGCATGCAACAGTATAAAGAAGCCTTAAAATGTTACAAAAATGCTGTAAACGCTGATAAGCATAATGAGGTTAGCGTATGTTCTATTTTCTAGTATTTTTAAATCTCATAGTTTATTTTAAAGATCGAACATGGTTTTTTAGCTTATTTCATTGACATCATTTATTGAAAGCGTACATTTATTAATAATTGACTGACATTTACAGAGTGTCAGCGAAGTTTTCATGTGTGTTGTACTGCAGCCTAATGCTTTTCTCGTTAATTAACTAAGGACTAATGTGTATTCTAACGACACTTCAGAATAACATTTGCAATACGACTTTCAAAATAAATATTGAGTGCTTCACTGTTAGATAGTTTATTAGGATGGGTTTGGCATCAAGTATCATTTGCTGAGTTTCTTCTCTCCAACTCTTAACAGATTTATTATCGATCTACCTTTAAGGACTGTCTTTCCGTTTGATAAATTTGCAGAAATAAGTTTTCCTAATAAACAAAGATTGTTCTGGAATTTTAACGGTGTATGGTTTTTCTTGATGAAGGCTTTCAAAAAATATAATGTTTATAATATACTGTTAACGAGTCTTTCAATTTGCATCTCATACCTTTAGAGTACAACGTAGCACTACCAGGTAACTGTGTATTTACAGCAGTTCGAACAATAAATACTGCAACTATTATCTTGACTTCTTCAATTGTATCAAAAAGGGTTTTGTGGAGATTGCAATGATTTCAATAGTTGAGATTATGAGTCAATTGAAGCTAGACCATCATAGAAAACCTGGAAGCACTGGACAGCCGTTTCATCCAGTGCTTCCAGGTTTTCTATGATGGTCTAGCTTCAATTGACTCATAATCTCAACTATTGAAATCTCTTCAGTTGTATTCATAAACTGATGTACTGTGATGGATCAATTATGAGTAAAATTTTTGTAAAAATCGGATTTTCTGATCTTTGTCAGTTTATAGTTCGTATGCTACTGTCATACTATCACAATACGAAAAAGAATTTGTCTATAGCCAAAAGTGTTTGTTTGATCCACTTAAATCGGGTATATTTTATGTTGATTACAGTTTATAGCAATAAGAACCCTATAGATTTTGAATTCAGAAGTTCTTGTGTTATTTTAGTCACATATTCACATATTTTTTTCGGAATATAATGGAATGAATTATATATATTATGAATTGTTAATTTCACTCAGTGGTCAGATGGAGGTTTATGCGATTGACCTTCAGCCACACTCTTTGTGCTTGGTTTAGTGATACTATTTGGTTGCCTAAAACTGAAGTAGCTGTGGCAGAGTTCAAACCGATATGTCCCTACTGCAAAAGTACAGGTTTATCATAAATGACTTCGTTTGAATTTTGTCCCTCGTAGAGGCTTGAACTAAATTAAATGTGAATTTACTATAAGTTACAGGATGTTTTCATGAATAACATTTGATAATGCAGTAATTCATTTGTATCGAAACAACTGATGCTCCTTTCTCTTTTTTTAGGTTCGTCCAGAGATTCGTTCTCGTTTAGCTGTACTACAACAGTTAGTTCCAAAACTATCAGATAAAATAACAGGAAGCACATTTAATGGTCCGAACAACAATAGTGTAACATCTAACCAGGTCGGCAATGGTCCTGGTCCTGGTTGTGGTGGAATAACGAAACTACCCACAGTAGATGAGGCATGGAGCCTGCCTATACCTGCTGAACTAACCCAGCGTCAACTTCAGTTAATGTTACAAGAGGCAGCTGCCAGTGATGCTGGGAGTGGTTCGTCTAAGCGTTCTGATAGGCACTTAGCTGGTCTTTTGTTAATCCCAACTCCCCAGTCAGTCCTTAGAAAACGTAGTAGTTGGCGCCAGTCTGGTTTCAATGGTATGATGTACTTTATTTTCGATACGATGTTTGATTATAGTTGTAGAAAACGATAACTTTTCAACTGCACTCTAATAAGTTGCTTCAAACTTACGAATAAATAAATTAAATATTATTACCTATATGCATGGTTATTGAACTGTTTAATAGTATAACCACTTTTCTGATTCGGTTCATAACTGAGTCATTATATATTTTAGAACAACTAAACGAATACATAGTTTGACTGTATTATGATTATATTTCTGTTGGGATCAAATATTTTTTTATCTGGTTTATGAGTTATAAGATTACGTAAATTCCGATGACGTTTTTATTTATTTGTTCGCTGTCAAAGAAAATTGTCCTACATTTTGTCATGGTAATAAATCCCAATGACTCGAAAGTACAATAATGATTGAAATTATCATATATTAATCTATTCAACAAAGTTCATTTGACTAAGAAGATCTCTAGTGATAAAATAAAACACTGTATCAAGATTAATGTTCAGAGTAACCAAAAATGTGGCTAGTTTCGGAGGAAATTCAAAAGTTATTTGATAGGTGAACAACGCTCTTATGAAGTTATGAATATAATTGTCAACTTGTGGTGTATGCTACTTATGTCGAAGGACATAAGTAATATGTAACACCGATCGGAAGTGGAATGCCTGGCAGCAATGTGTTGAAAAGATCGGATTGAAGAGAGCAAGAATGTAGACAGAGAGTAATTGTAATAAAAACAGGAATGAAGGAGCGGTAAATTTTGTAAGAGACAATTGGTGAAAGATGTGCAAATGAAATATTCAAAGCATAATTTTCGTATTATTATTATTATTATCATCAGCTTTATTCAATATTATATTTTTGGCACAATATGGAATTCTCAGCTCAAAGTATTTTAACAAGTTTCCGTTTCTTTCTTCTTGGTCGGTCCTGGCGATAAATATTGAGTGATCGCCAGTTAGATGTTAGCAGTTCAGTAAATGAGCATCTGAATAATGTGCATTCTTTTCGTTGTATATTGCCAGCAACCACATTGTCTCTTATTGAGTTTTTTGTAACTTTGACAACGAAAGTTTGTACACTTTTCAGAAACGCAGCAGAATAGGTTATGCGATTAATAGACATAATGATATATTAAAACAAACAAAAATAGATAACTTGTTGAAATATCTAGATGGCAGGAACAGGTAGCCCAGATGCTCAAGCAGGCCGCCCTTCTACAAAGACATTCTGTATTTTGTATTAACTAATAAATTGGTTCTCCCCATTCGACTTCTTTATCCACTACAAACTGATTATTATAACGATAAAAGTTGGAAAATACCAATTTGCACATCATTTTCACAGGATTCTGTAATTAGTTTTGAGTTTATCTTTAAATTTGCTGTAATTTTCATTGGAGATATCAGTTAGTCAGTCAGTAACAACGTAGAACTTCGTACGTACGTATATCAGTTCGAGTTGCCATACTACATTAGCACAGAGATGCAGTTGTCCATTCAAATCCCATAGTGGTAGAGGCTGTAAGAGTATAAGCAGTAATCGGAAAGATTAGGGTTTGGAGATGTTATTCAAGGAATATAATCCAGCGAAACAAATTTGGAAAGAGAAAAAAAGGTTATGAAGAATTCAGAAGATTAAAATTTGGGAAAACACAAAGAGCGGATGCACCTGTGTTATTGCAAACGATTTTGAGCCATGTTATTCAGGGGTCTCTAACCATCGGTTGCTATCGTCTCGCGGTCCCCAACCAGGTAGTCTTCACCTACCAACATGACTCAGTCCACTTGTCAGTGACTTCATGGACTTGTGCCATGTTTTGGTCCGGCCGCCCCTATCTTTCTTCCAACCTACTCCTATACCATTGAACATCGAACGTCGAGGCAGTCGGTGGTTGGGCATACGTAATACGTGTCCCAGCCATTTCAATTGATGAAGTTTCACCACTTTATCAATCGATTTGCCATCCTTACCTAGTACCCGTTTCCTAGCAAATGTGTTACTTACTCGGTGGTTTCAGGATATACGAGCAATGTTTCGAAAACATCTATGATCGAATACTAGTAACCTACGAATGTCCTCTACTCTTACTGGCCATGTTTCACTGCCATAAACTAGGACGGAACGAACTGCTGCACAGTAAACTCGTCCTTTGTTGATGGACGGATATCTCGCCTACGCCGTCAAGTTTTGGTACGTTAATGGGTAGGTTTCTTGTGTCATGTGGTTAACTTATATTCATTGTCTTTCCGGGTAACTGTTTCACTTTGAAAATGTTTTGAGATATTTATTTTGCTAAATCCATTCAGTATTTCGTACTGTGATACGTTTTATTGTGGAATGTATTTCACGGACTATTAATTCAGTTTGTTGTCAGTTTTCATTCTACATTACTACTTTGTTTCATATTTTAGGTCCATGTGAAACTGAAGGAACTGATGAGTGTGGAGGGTCCAAAAGATCACGTCATAGTGATCCATCCTCTTCAACACCTGTCCAACCATTAAGCAATCAGCAACTTCAACTGTTACATTCCCTGCAAGTAAATTCATATATTTTTGAGGTGTTTCGGTTTATCATTAATATTTCGTCAACAAATTTCTTTTCCTCACTACATTTTTCGTCAGAATATATGCGGGACTTTTTCAATCACTCATTTTTAAATGTGCTCTTAAAAAAGCCGATTGACTCGGGGTATTTTTAGATCTTTATTCCATCGAATAACACTTTACCTTATTCAGAATTATTTGGAAAGTTTGCAGTTCAAAGTTCTAAAAAAATAAATATTTATAATTAGTTCTTTTTGTTTTGCATGTGTTATACTTCTCATCTTAATCGTAGTTAGCATGTTTAACAACCCCTTGATTGTTCTGCATGTTATTCTGCGTACTCATTGCTAGTTTGGGATGGTATAACAGCAAAATAGACTTTATGATTTTTGCAAATAATTAAGTATTTTTCTTATGAATTCTGGCTGATGTACCACGAAATGAATTTAAGAGAAAAATGTATTTGTTTTGTTTGTGTAACTCAGCAACCAAGTATAGTTTCATGCTTTAATGTAAAGTGGTTTGAAGTAGTCGACAGGAAACAATGAACTCAAGTTTCATGCCAGTTGGAAATTGTCAGTAAGACGCACCGTTACTCATAGGTTTAAGAAACAAAACAGATTATTTTCTATGAAGTTTGGCTCTGAATTTGGTTATTTTTAACTTGGTGAGAAATCACTCAGTGAAATATTTAGATCCACTCTTAATCTTTTTCGATATCCGAATTTATTACCGTTCCATCGTTTTCGTTCGATCTCATTCTTTCGTCTTAAGACATATCCCTTATGTTTAGCTTCCCACTCCAGTGAATATCGCTGTTTTTTCTCCTTTGCTTCACAAAATTTTAATTATACTGATATGTAGAATTGTAAAATGGACAGTTATGTATTAGTGTCATGTCTAACTTAATCTGTCTTGAAATTCCTAATTAAGAACATCAGTATGGAGCAATAATTCTTGTTGTAGTTTTCATTTTCGATGGATTTACGACAGTTTTTCTGAAAATCTGTTTTTGTCTCACATCTTAACTACACCAACACAGCTTATTATTAAGAAAATTTGTTTTATGTGTATTATACATATCCTTAACTCATGTTCAAGTCTGTTTCTTTTCTAATACTATACAGCGTGACATCCTAAGTGTTTTTAAAATGTGTGTAGAATTATAGTTCATGGAATGTACATAAATCTTGTATTGTAATATTTTAAAAACATCCAGTGGTACATCGTGTTATAGTTTATTTGTGTATGGCTATTTTTATGCTATCATGAAAACAGAAGCATTAGCAATTCTTTCTTATGAACGTTCACATCGGATCAAATGTTTGTTTATCATTGGTAATCATAACTCTGTACGAAAAGATTTTACTTTGTACTATTAATTATATCTTTTTCTAATTTTAAGGCTCAGGGTAGTTGCCTAACTGCCTCACAACGTCAAACTCTTAATAATTTACAAAACCAGTCATTGAGATATCATCATTACAAACTGATACAAAATCAGAAACAATTGAAAACATGTAAATCGGGCAGTGCTTTTGCCGATGAAGCAGTTTCAACTTCTGATTCGGCTGGACCATTTCACGGGGATACTACTGCTACGACAGGTAGTTCTAGTACTGGTCGTAATCCATCCAGTGTACCTGGTGAAGATACAGTAGATTTGTTTCCCGCTGAGGATGATGATTTAACCGCTGTTGTTGATAGTCCTGGATCGGGTAATTTACCTGAAGAAGATTTAGGGTTCTTGACGGATGACCTACTTGCTCAGTTAAATGGATCTGAAGCAGCTACTGGATTGGATCTTGTTGAGTTAGCTCTGTTTACTACGGGCTCTAGTGCTGGTGATCAGCGGCCTACAAGTAATAATGATAATAACCAGGTTTTAATAAATGAAAAGTCTTGTCAATCGAAATGTGGTGATTCTTCTACATCTGGTCCGTCTTCTTCAACTCCAACTAATCCACCAAAGACAATTAATTTAAACGCAGCCAAAAAGGATGAAATTGACATGAAAAATTGCTTAACTCAAGAACTTGGTATTGACCCCCTTATCAATTCTTCAGATAATCCATCTTCAGATCCTGTAGATTTGCATGCTTACTTAACCAAACCACTAAACCCACCGACTAGTATCACTGCAGCTCTGCATGTCAATATGTCTTCTTCGCAAGTGAGCTATGGCCATCATATTTATGTATTTAATCATTAACGTTTTTTGTTCATACATGAAATATTAATCAGATGTCGGTATTTTATACTAGTACAGACTGTTTATCAGTGTTGTTTTTGTTGTCAATTTTCTATCTACTTATTTTAATAGAAAACACAACTGTAGGCATTATTTACTGCTTGTTTTAATACCTTTCATTGGTATCTGCTGTAAGCATCGTTATTTTAAACAATTATTTGAATAGCACTTGTACCGTTAGTTGATGAATAACTCAATTATTACAAATTCGGGCTCGATATATGTGAATATGTTTGAGAATCAAGGTCCTCATCTGTTAATTTAGCCCGAAATGTGAAGTTTTTCTCGGTTGCAGATGTGCTGTTTGAGCTCTGTGTTTAGTACTGTCGAGTCAGCACCTCAGAAATTTTGAATACTTCATCGGTGAGACTGTAATCTATGGACGAGTCAGTCGGAAGCAAGCTAGCGATTTCTAGATCACGGGGCCTATTTCAATACATAGTGCTCACATACAATAGATTTACAGCGGATTTCAAGTAGGATGTTATAATTGAGCGGTTACAACAGAGGGGATTACTGAGAAGCTCGTTTATTTGCGACTGCCGTGTTTAAATGACTCCTGGACATTGTGCAAACTATCGCGATGATGTTTTATTCCGATGTAATATTTGTTGGAGGAAAAATCCTGCTAGAATGGGAACTTTTCACTCGATCCCGATTGACATTATGACAAGTTATGATGATTGTTGTAAACTGGATAATAAAATCACCAGTAACACTGGTTGCAACCTTTGCAGATGTTACTAAAGCTTCGGCAGTTCAGTGGTATGAGTACTGTCGAGATATATGTGCTGTGAAAATAAAAAGCTTGAGTCAGTCGTTTGGTGGAATCGGCAGATCGTAGAAATGGGCGAAATAGTCATTAAAAAACACAAATTCAATAGAAGAACAAGTGTTAAAGAAGACTGGGTCAGTAATATTCTTTAAGTAGAATGAGCACGCCTTTGATATATATGATAGACCATTTCAAAAGTGACACTTTCAGGACGGACGAACTACAATAATGATACCAATTTTATGGGAGTATGTGCAGCCGGGTACCACAACATACACGGGAGACTGGAGAGCATATCGATGCCTATCTCGACCTGGTTACGTGTATCGTGTCATCGTTCACAAGTGACATTTTGTAGACCCCACTGCGGGAGTACATATTAATATTATAGAAGCAGTTGGGTCGAGGCCAAAAGAATCTTTGCAATCTTATCATGGCTCCAAAGGTTGACTGCTATGGAGTTCCTATACTGAATGCATTACGATTTTAGGACTGTGGAGCCTCTTTCTAACCTTATAAAGTTTCTAAACTATGTTGAGGAAGTATATCCATTCTTCTATACCGACTGTTTCCTGATTAGCTGAAATTTCTCAAGGCCACTTAAAGTTCGTTCAAAAGTCGTTTCTAGATTACAGAATCGCCTATTTTTTGATGAAACTAGATTGTTAAACCCTACACAAGGTGCATAACTTCATTCTTGTTACCTAATCTCCGATCATTATTCACAGTTTACTGAATTCCACTCTCTCTATTCTAAAGCCTTATTTACTTGCCTAGCATTTTCAACTACACTTCCGAGTTAGAAATATCTTACAGTTCATACTTATAAATTAAAGTAGTTCACACCAATACGGCGTTTGATTTTCCTTGTGGACGTTACATTACAGAAATATGTTGTAGCTAATAAATCCTATTTGATTACGTCAGATCACGTTTACGGAAGTGTATTAATGAACAAATAATATCATTCGTAACTATGCTAATAGCAATGCCTTAACTTCTTCGAAACTTACGGTAGTTATGATAATAACAGCGCTTGAGAATAGAAAAAAACTCACCTACCTAAGTGAATTTATTCTACTGAAATATAAGTAAACTTGGTAATTGCGTAAAAAGTATGTACAAATTAATAGAAACTTGTATAAAATTTACATATTAATTTATTGTGCTCCAAATAATTTCATTGTTGATCCTCATTCTCTAATTAAGATGATGTTTATTTTAGATCTTGTCTTCGCTTCGTGGTCTTGGCCATTCAGGTGGACCTTGGTGGCCTGGCTTACTACCGGAAGGTAGTCCTATTCCGAAACCTCCTGCAAAGCCGTATCCACCACCTCCTAAAGATAAGCTGCTGCCTCCCACACCAAGTGTTTATTTGGAAAATCGCAATGATGCTCATTCACCTGAATTAATGCGCTACTGTTTTACACAACCAGTAGTTGTAATACGTGGTTTGGCTGCTGCTTTGCGCCTGGATTTAGGTTTATTTTCTACTAAATCATTGGTTGAATCCAACCCAGAACATCGAGTTGAAGTAAGTTGGTAGCATTTATGTTAGTACTTATTGTAATTTAGCCGGTCAGTTTTGATTAATTAACTATGAACGTTGTCACTTTTGCTGAACTTTCTCAGAAAATAACCTCATTTAATCTATTTCTAAGAAATTCTCTAAGAGACTAGTTTGTTTTTCTTTTTTCATTTGAAAACGTCCTTTTCTAACCGATTAATAATGATGTTCTTGTGTATTATGGCAATTTGTGTTGATCAGTTGTTGAGGTGAATTGTTAAGAATATGGGTTTTATTTAAGGTATTCTAATTAGTTCCACTAGAAACAATTAACCCCTTTCCTATACTTGGGGTAACTAGTTTCTCAACTTCTTAGCTACAATATGTACGTTGAACATTAGCTCTTCGTTATTATTTGTATCAACAACTATTTATTGGTTTTTATCCACAGCTATAAAATACAAGACTCACGGACTTGTATATCGAATTTTTAAAGTTTATTTAGATTGTTTAAATAAACATTTGGTGGTGTTTTCCTAAACTTATTATTTGTCATCAACATAGGGTTGTGGAGATTGTTGGGTTTTGATTGAGATTATGAGTGAGTAATGTTAGAACACCATTGGAAACCCGGAAGTACTGGAAGGTCTTTTCGTCCTAGTGTGGGACTTCTCAGCGGTGCACATCCACAATCACGCACGCTGGATTATTTGTTGCCTTCAACTATCAAATAGTTACATATTTTTGTTACCTGATAAAGTCTTTCATAGTGGATTGGTTTCAACAAAATACCAATTCTGAAGTCGGTTTGTTTGAAAGACATGATGCTATTCTGGCCAAAAACTCTATACCATTAGTTTTTAAGCATTTTAAATGGCAAATTACTTTTGTTCAAAAAGTGACTTTTAAGTTGATGCTATTTTATTTTGAATGGATATTGTTTTGACTTTTGAATAGATGACGCTCCCACTTTTTCCATTTGCACTGCTTATACATTTATATAAATATATCCAGGTACGAACCCAACGTCTTCAATCGCCTGACCAGAACCTTGATTCTCAAGGACGTACTGTATGGCTTTGTGAATCACCGAAAACTACCACAACAATTGCTAAATATGGTGCTTATCAAGCTGCTTCATTTATTGAAGCAATGAAAGAAGAGAAAATTGTGAATTTTTCCGGTACTGCACCAGTTACTTCTACTCCAACTTCTAACACACTATCCGCCATATCTGTAGACACCAAATCATCTACTGGTAGCTTATCGAATGGTATGACAAGTGTAAAAGTTCTTAATTGATATAAATTATGTTTTTAAATAGAAAAGGAACACACGTTTTAATTTAAGCTCTCTTTGTGTCCTCTGTGTCACAGGTTGAAGGTTCTATTCGTGTCAACTAATTGTTTATCTTGAAAAATCATACCATGGCTGTAGTACTTTGTCAGTTGACAAGACTGAAGACCGAAATGTTGTGAAATAAAATGACACAATTGATAAAATATTCGTCATAAGAATTTTCTCCGGTTTTATAATGACTTTCTCGATACATTCATTTCATGATAGGTAATTGATCACTTTTGTAAGCATCTGAGCATCTGCTAGTTTGGTTTCGTTACCGTAGTGCCGTTACAGATCACTGATAATAGTGGTAGAGTAAGAATTTATTTAAGTGTGCGGAGAAAATCCTCGTGAATTCTGTTGTTTAATTTACTTATATCTTTTTAGGTACGAACTGCGTTATACCTCAGAATGTGGTATAATAAAGTGGCCACATGACTATAAGGTGTCATTAATATCGTAGTTAATCTCAATAACATGCTTAGGATCTTTAACGTTCAATTTAAGTTTTTTTCTTGAAATTTTTTATGGTATATTATTGTAACCAATCTACCTTATTTGTTGTCTTTATTTCCCCTCGATTAGCTGTAACGGGAAGTGGACGAAAAAATTCTACTCATTGGTCTACCGAATCAACAAATTCAGAATTAAAGTAAGCGTTTTATTAATTTAATTTGATACTTTTTCAATTATTTATCCGACTAATTTTAGATAAGCTGTAACATATTGAACTTTTCTAACTCAAACTATATACATTAGAGCGTTATGTGACATATAGAATTTTGCTTGTTTTTTTTTAAATACCACTTATTGTAATAAAGTTATTTATCTACGATAGTTGTATCGTTATTAAATCTTTTACTGCAACTAGTTAGGTTCGTATATTCTTCGTATTTTTAATGAAATGTAGGCTATAGAATATCAAGGAACTGTTTTCCCCCACATCTCTATAAGCGTTGTCACTTTTTTCTAATTTATAATGAATTCTCTAGTAGACTGTTGTCAGTATATTTTCCATTTCACTTGAATATTTAGCGGTTGTATTTCATTGTATTTATTATTTTTTATCAATAGTTTATTTGACTGATCTTATGTCAGAAAACCAATATGTGACATAAAAAACAGTTACAATGTGAAATAAATAAATGAAAATATATTTCAGTGGTTGAGATCATGAGTCAATTGAAGCTAGACCACTATGGAAAACCTAGGAACACTGGGCGGTCGTTTCGTCCTATTGTGGGACTCCTCAGCAGTGCGCATCTACGATCCCGCCTCGCGAGATTCGGACCCAGGACCTATCAGTCTCGCGCTCGAGCGCTTAACCACTAGACCACTGAGCTTGCATCCAACGGTGTTAATGTCTAACTTCAACCAATCCATGAAATTGAGCGACACATTTGATTAATAACTTATCTTTGTTCTACAGGTTGACCATTTGAGTACTTGTTGTCTGTTGAATAATTTTTGTTAAAAAAAGATTTACTTTTATCCTGTTTCTTTTTCTTACAAAATCTTACTAGTACAAATCAACCTCATCATGTGGGAAATAAAATATCTGGTGATGAAAATCACTCATTATCAAATCAACAGAATAATGGACGATTGAAATTAATACGTTTTGGAACAAATTGTGATCTTTCAGATCAGAAAAAGTGGTTACCTCAACTCCATGAACTTACTAAATTGCCTATATTTGTTCGAGTTGTAAGCGCTTTCAGCATGCTTAGTCATGTAGGCTATCCACTTTTAGGATTGAACACTGTTCAACTTTATTTGAAAGTAAGAGATATTTTTCTTGATTCGTTAATATGCATGTAAAAGTGTAGTTCTGTATAAAGACGAAAATATGTTTTCATGAAAGGTACTAAACATAACTCTGGTACAACAACAACAACAATTTCTATTATTAATAAGATTAGTAATGATAATATTGAACACAATTCAAGCGAAAATAAGACTGAATTACATTACATTTCAACCAAACTACTGCCTGGAAATAATATGCACAAAATCACGCCAGGTACAAGACTATTGATATTTCAAACAATTGAATGCCATGATCTGTAGGACCCTATATGTGATTTATTGATGAGATAAACTGGTGTCGACTCAGAAACCGTCTTCTATTTCCGCAGCTTTTTCAAAAATTGATTGGTATACATGGTGTTTCTATAACAGACTATTTAGTTAAAACTAGGTTATTTGTTGCTAGTTACCTAGATGCGATGAATTTGTTTTCTGGTATTCACCAGTTACAACTTCTGTTTCTTCTTACCTGGGATATACATCCACTAGATCTATGTAATCATGATATAATTGGACAGTTATATCTGGGTAAAACAGTGGTACGGAAACATTTGGTAAACGTCTCATGAACGTAAATCGTACATCAGTCGGATTTGCGATCAGAAATAGTTGAACCTATTGTAATGTGTAGTGTTGGTTCTAATTGAGTTTTGTTCTCTGAGCTGGATGGTTTGGTCGTGAAGCTTTCATCGTTCTTCTGAACGACGTCATCAGCACAAACTTTGGATAGAAATGAAGTGGTCGAATTTCTCCATAAACTTCACTTCTATCTGAAGTTTGTGCTGATGATGTCGTTCAGAAGAACGATGAAAGCTTCACGACCAAACCATCCAGCTCAGAGAACAAAACTCCATCAAACTCATCCACCTGAACTACAAATCTTCTCCAGTGTTGGTTCTGTCTGAACCTGTTGTTCAATACCTTAATTTTAATGTATTGGATGCTTGTATACAAATGTATGTTGTTACGTACAAAGCTCCTCAGATTGTGGAGTTCACTATTTATTGATCATACACAAAATTAAAACAATGCTGATTATATGTAGAGATGGATGGTGCCTAGTAGCGAATCCACGACGGGCGTTTCGTCCTAGTTTGGACTCATCAACTGGATGTACCTGGATCTCAGAGTTAATGTTCACTCCATGATTAATTGTTTGGATCTTTCGTTCATGGTGTTGCCATTTTTCACGTCTATTAATTTTTTGGAGAATGATTAATTTTCTAATTATCAAAAGATTTAAATAAGTAATCAATGTGCTTTTAAATCTTCAAAATGAAATATCATTTTTGAAACTCGTATCTTATAACTAAACTACTCATCAGTAAATCGACTTTTTTCCTTTTCCTGTACTTTATCGGTTAAACTAACTGTTCATAAATTGTTTACTTACTCTATTGACACTATAATTGGGCAGTAATTTGTGTAACTGGCTGCTTTGAGAACCGGTTGTCGTTGAGTTTATAATCTTAAATTTGAGTTTTGAATCAGGTTAGTAATTATTTTTCGTAGAGGCATTTGATTTTTATATATTTCCGTATATATCTGGGAAACTAAGACCCTCGTCCGTAAATTATAGTCTCACCGCTACCAATTTCTTTACACATCAGGGTCGAATTACTGTTCCTCAATTTTGAGAGCTTGTTTTTCCCATTTAAAGTCACCAAACGGTTTTTTTATGGCAAAGGTGAAAAAATCGCGATCGTAAATTGAGTGGGTGAACTGCTTCTTACACTCAGCTGTATCATCGTCATGATGATGATGGTGGGGAAGGTGATTTAATCAATTTTTATTTTTACAGCTGAAATCTAAGCAAACGATTCTTTCTTCATCGCTTTAGGTCCCTGGTTCCCGTACTCCTGGTCATCAAGAAAATAATAATTTCTGTGCTGTTAATATTAATATTGGTCCAGGTGATTGTGAATGGTTTGCCGTACCGGAACAGTATTGGGGAGCTATTCATAATTTATGTGAAAAGAATAATGTAAGTTTTAATTTCGTTTATTATTTACTAAAATTATCTTCAAGCTAAGGACAATATTTTGGATAGGTGTAGGAAATAGTCATGAAAAACATTAGGTAATATTATGATCTGATGTGGATTAGAATAGAGGAGGTACAAAACTTTATATTTTTTAAATGTGTCTTTTCCAATCTTCTCCATTTACTGACATTCTTCATGGCGATTTTAATCCCCCTATTTCTCTTGATTAACTATTTCTGTACTTCAACTAAAAAATGGTTTTAGGCTATGTTGGCAGGTTGTAAATTATACTTTTATTTGTTCTGTAAGTTGATTCAGCAAAATTTCTGTATGGTTGAAAATTTGTTTGTATTGGAAGATACTTATTAAAATTCTGTGTAGTTTATGGTCTTGATGATGGTCTTTTACGAATTAAAACTTGTAAATCAATTTTTATTTTTCTTCACAAATAGCAGAATAGACTATATCATAAAAAGTATCCAAGTAATTGTATTAACTACGAGGCATTAAAAACACTGCTTATTTTTATGTCTGTCATCTCTTTTTTATATCTCCTTCACTTAACTGTTTTAAGTAAGTCCATTTAAAGTGATGTACTATTTAATTGAAGTCAATGGAGTTCTTTTATTCGGTCTGTGTTAGCTTGATTATATGGTATAGTACTGGTATAAGTTTTTATCTTATCTGGAAATTGTACCTGTTGAATTATGGAATTGGCCTGTCATATCAATAATAATTTAAATTAATTTATTATTATTTTAAATTGTACGTTCAGGTTGATTATCTAACTGGTTCTTGGTGGCCAGATCTAGAAACATTGTACAAGGAAGAGATACCAGTTTACAGGTTCATTCAACGACCTGGAGATTTAGTATGGATCAATGCAGGTACAGTTCATTGGGTACAAGCTATTGGTTGGTGTAACAATATAGCATGGAATGTTGGCTGTATGACTGCTCGACAATATCAACTTGCTGTTGAACGTTATGAATTCAACCGTTTACGTGGGGTTAAATCTGTTGTACCTATGACACATCTTAGTTGGCAGTTGGCTAAAAATATAAAAATATCAGATCCGGGATTGTTTGAATTAATCAAGTAATTATCTTTACCATTAATCTTTTTGTACGTTAATATTCTATGCTTTATTTAATGAAAGAAACTGTGTATTTTCTTCATGTTAGTGATGTAGGTTCAATGCATGACGTCTTTTTTTAAGGAAGTTATAGAAATAATGAAGCTTCAGCTAACATTAAACTAAATGTATCAAGAGAAAACTTAATCCTTTAAATTAGTATTCCCTCATTTTTGAAGTTTATTAGTCCATTGTGAGCATTAATGAAAGATTGATTATGCACAGTCTATATTTCTATCTTATAGCCTTTTTTAATGATTATCAACAGAGTAATTTCTTTAATTTACAAATATAGCCTCATTAAAATAAAGTACGTTTAAAAGTTGTTAAATCATATTCACCAGGATATAAACGTAGAGTTTTAAGACTTCCAAACAATACAATAAACAGCCACTGACAACTGTAATGAAATATTAACGTGGAACTGAACTCGACCGTGGAAAAAGTATAAGAATCAATAAGATGCTTACAAAACAATAAAATAATTCTATCCATTACAATATTTCGAGGGGATAGATCTGTGTTGCTTGGATTGATTGTGATCTGTCTGTAATGTGGTCTCTACTGTCTTGTAAATAGCAGCGAAGTTTCCTTCATGTTAAATTTAGTGGATCGCCCTGTACATTTTTAGTGCACCTTACTTTGTTAGGTTTTTCAATCCACATATATACGCTAAATTGGCACATCTACATTTTTAAAATATTAATTCTCCTACTTTCAGGCACACATTACTTCGTAGTCTTATTCAATCTCAGTTGACTACTGATTTCCTGGAGAAGATGAATTTAACTGTTAAACATCACGGGAAAAGACCTGATGATATTGCTCATTCCTGTCATGATTGTGAGGTTAGCGAAATTGTATTTAATTTATTACCCTATACTATTTTGCTAAATATAAAGTGTTTAGAGGAGTGAATAGATTAATTTGTTTCTTACCACATTACTAGAGCAGTTAATATAGTAATTTAATAAAAAAATAGATATTTCTGTACACTTAGTATTAAAAGCATTAAGTAATAGGTGTTTTTATTCACAAATAGAATACTTCTGTTTATGTAATTATTGTCTATGAAAGTTAAATATAATTCAAATTAAGGGTTTCCAGTTTGATCGGATTGTTTCAAATTGTCATCTTTCATCATTCATTTCTACAATGTAGTTCATCATTCAATAATTATAGTACACATTGAATTTTTTTGTTGGTTAATTAATACGTGATATAGTGAAAATCTTGTCTTCTAAAGATTATTTTGTTTAACAAATTACTATTATTATATCATAATTCGGAATTAAAAATTTATTCTTTACATTTTCATAAATTCAGTGGAATTTTGTCCACTTATTTCATTCCATTCAGTTTACTTATCCATTGTTTTGTTGTGTTATACATTTAATACAGAATTGCATAAAAATATTCGTTTTTACAAACTAATTACAATTTAAAATTAAAACACGAATTTCAGCGAAGGGATCTCTTTTCAACGAATTTATTATCAAGCTGTACAATCGTATATATATGAAAGGGAACGAGACCAATCAATTCCTTTTCTCGATGTACGTCTGATGAGAAAGAGTAATGGTTCTTTAAAAAGATCCATCTTTAGAAAACAAACATGGAATGGCCTGCTAACCAACTTCTATAGCTGGGTTCCGTTAAGTAGGAAGAGAAACCTTATCCATTCTTTATGCTATCGCATACATCACATATACAGTACGGAATGCATTAACGAAGAACTCGCATTCCTCAAGAAGACTTTGACGGAAAATGGTTACCCAGAACGGTTCATAGAAAAGAATATGAATAGAAGTAGTCGCGACAAGAATTCTAGTTGTTCCGTTCCAAAGAAAAACCTTTATATAAGTCTGGAATTCAAAGGTGATCGAACATCAGACGTAATCAAAAATCGTCTAACAAAAACTATTAGAAGAACATTTAACGCAGCAAAACTGCGAATATCCTTCATTAGTAGAAACTTATTTTCTGTATCCATAAAAGATAAGCTTCCGCGTCCGGTCGCCTCCATGTGCATCTACCAGTTCACCTGCTCTTGTGGAGCAAGGTACATTGGCCGTAGCCAGCGCTCGCTTTCAACTCGGATACGAGAATATATTCCAGCGTGGTTCTATAAGGATGAAAGGAAAGCAGTTAGGAGTTCTATACTTGAACACCTAATCGACTATAGCCATTCTACACATCCACAAATTGAATTTAAGGTTGTTTGTATGATTCGTTCAAATCTACCCTGCTTTCTTCGTATCCAACTTTTAAAAATAGCCGAAGCTCTTACCATCCAGGAGCTTAAACCAGAACTATGTGTACAAAAGAAGTACGTCTTATCGTTATCGTTACCTTGGCCTTAAGCATTTTGATCATGCTATTATTATTATTATTATTATTATTATTATTATTATTATTATTATTATTATTATTATTATTATTATTATTATTATTATTATTACTGTATTCCCCCTTTACTTATGTCTTGTATTCTCATCATTTTATTCGTAAATGCTCATCATATCGCCTTGTTCATTTCTACACCTCTATGACCTTTAATTATTATAACAAAAACATTTTAATCATCTTATTATATTCACTAGATCTATTGTTATTGTTATTATTCATATTACGTAATCTTGTATTATAACCTTTTTATTAACTGTGTTCACATTTCCTCACAGAATTAGTACTTTTACAAAAACAAAAATTTTCATATATATACGATTGTACAGCTTGGTAATAAATTCGTTGAAAAGAGACCCCTTCGCTGAAATTCGTGTTTTAATTTTAATGTTTAAATGGGAATTATCTGTCAATTACAATTTAGCCTATGACTTCAGGTTATTCCAAAGACAATTTATCACTAACAGATTGTAGAGTTAAAGCTCACTCTTCACGTTTTCCTACAAAACTGTTTATAGAAACTGCACTAAATGTGTTTTATGCACAAATTGTATTAGTTACACATTGACTAATTATTTTCTCAAGATAATATTTGTTAGCTTAAAGGTTTTGTTTTGTTTTTATAATGAAAACCATCAAGGCTTCTTATGTCCTTAGCATATACGATTGCCGAATTTAGATACATGGACTTATATGACCAACAAATGAGTCCCGAATAGCCCTTTTCCATGCCTGTTAAGTCCAGAACATCAATCTCAGTCTCCACGATATGAATCATATGTATCAAACATACTGAGTTTATATACTAGCCAAGCGAGCCACATCACACCATAAAATAGCAAATCACATTTGTAGAAGATCTAACCAAAAGTGACTGTGATTGTGGGAGACTGTAATTAATAAATTGAGCATAACTTAAGAATGGTAAATCTTATAATAATAATAATCTATAGATCAAAATAAAGTTTATAATAAGAGGAGTATAAATATACACAGTTTAATTACTTAACAATTATACAATAAGAATATCTGTATAGTATTCACAAATAGATCCTAACAGTTACCATTCATTATTCTCGTCGGGATATAACAAATCTAACTTACATATTTTTTTTAAATGTTAAAGTTATAATTCTTTTAATGAATCCGAAAAAAATGTTCAGTACTTCACTGTCATACTCTTAATGATTCAATATTTCTTGTTTAAATGTATACATTCGAATTATATAAATAATTAATTTTATTTCAATGGACCCTACTGAATATTCATTAAGTTTCTTCTTTCATTTACTCATAAATGTTCAAATGAGAACATAAAAAGTATTGAATTATTCGAATAAAAAAACAATTTAATTTTTTTATAATAATTTCTCTTTTTTTCTCTTCTAAAATCTCCTTCACAAATTATATGTAACTAATTGATTAATTAATGAATTAGAATGATTTTGATATTTACCTGTTATAATTACTTTAAACTAGATTGATATTAAATTTATTGGTATTTGTATTATTGTTGTTTTCTTTCAGATTGAAGTATTCAATATTTTATTTGTTTTATCTCAAGATAAAAAATTGGTTGTTAGATGTTTAGATTGTGCACGTCGTATGGATTCTACTTTAAAAACATTCATTATCTTATCTGAATATTATATTCATGAACTGGCTGAAATTTTTGATAAATTTCAACTTCAAACTGTAAGTTTTATTTGCTTCTATTGATTATTATTCTTATTACATATTAAATAATCTTTAAATGATTTAGTAAAATGTCTACTCCCTAACTGTGTTATGACTTTTACTCCTGTCAATCACTATGCGATGAAATTGCCAATCAGGATACCGATTTATATAAACTTGTTCTTGTGCTGAACTAATGCCACGGTAAAACAGCACTAACAGTCTTGTGTTAATTCTGATTCCTTATTTGTTTTTCTTGCCTAGCCCTGCCCGTTTGAGTCCAAAACAGAATATCAGATTCCACTGTATGAATCATATATTTCAGACATATGTAGTCTATGTACAAACAAACCAGGTCGCATCGTATACCATCAGATAAAAATTATGCAAGTTCAAGCCAAAAGTGGCTGTGAGTGTGAGAGACTGTAATTAATAGATTAAGAATAGTAAATCGTATAATAATAGCCAATGGACCGATATATACATACACTCTATAAAGTTCCCGAAAGTTACACATAATTTAATCTTCTTGGCAAATAACAAACCTGTTTTTTGTGATTTTCATCTTTTTTCTCTTTTTTACATCGTTACAGCAACCTATCACAGCTTATCCAGTGGGAAAAACTTGATCTACTTACATTATTGTGAATCGATATATACAACAAAATACATAATGTTATTACTGGATAGTTATGGAGCAGCACATTTTCACTTTTGTGTATTATACACCACCACAATGAGATATACGCGTTTACACATTTTTCATTGTTATTAATTGTTGAAATATTGTATTGAAATTTCCCTATTGTAATTAATTTGTATAATATGAAAAATTAGAAATTAACCATTGAAGTAATCGATTCTTTAATGTATTTTCATTTTGTATTGTATGGTTAATTTCTTTAATTCTTTAAATATTCCTTTGTAATTTGTAAAATTTTACTTCTACGTCCAAAAAAACAAACAACAAATCAATCCACTTGTCTAACATTATATTACACGTTAAAATTTGTTTTACTGTTAGCTGTATAATGACTATTTAACTATTTCACTTTGCATCATTTATTTTTAAATAAATCAATTTTAAAAAAAACCCAGTTTACAGTACAGAAAAATTTCTTCTTGTTTTAAAGTACCAATATTCATTACTCAGAGTTCATTGATACGTTGGTTAAGATTATGCAAAATATTTAAGGAAAGATCAAACCGCATTAACCCCGGTTTAAATCCTGGCAGCGACAATTTATTTATGTCCCCAAATGCCCTAGTACGGCCGAGAATGGGAAGAGTCAGCTGTCACACTTGAAATGCTGCCACGTGCATACAACAAATGTCAGGGAAGTCCTACTCACTACATTCTCGCAGCGTTATTGTTGTTTACGAAACTGAGAGGAGGAAAAGCGGATGTCTGGCGTTTTAACCGGGTACGTGGATACGGGGAATCCACCTAGGGCAGTTAGGAAACCCTGGTTACAAACCAATGGCTCCAGGATCCTAGAGGAAATAAATGACATATGAACCAATCGTTGGTCACCGGCTACCATGAGACTGCATCTCCTGACGTTGTTCCGTCACTTTTAGGTCATAGGCTCGAGGTGTGGCCCCTAAGAAAACCATCTGCTTCGGTTTGGGCAGCCGGGCAGTATCCCAGCCCTCATTTAAATCAAATGACTTATGTGGTGCATATCTCATTAGTGCCTCCTTTTAAAAATGTTTCTCTTTAAATAAATAAACGTGAACTAACTTATCGTACAAAACCCACAAACTTAATTCAATGATTTTAAAGATTATTGCATTAGTTTAAAAAGTATTAAAAGGTGCATTAGTCTTGAATTAACCATGAAATGTTAACTTGATGTGAAATAAACCTTTGCAAGTCTATACATATTATACGTAGGTAAATTGCTGCGGAACGGTTAAAAATAAAGTATTCACATCTATCGTTACGGTCGTTAGAATTGCTCATGTAATATTAATACACTTACTGTTCATTATACAGAATCACTTGGTAATCTTTAATTCGGCTACAATAAAATATAACAGTGTAACAAAACTAAGCTCTCAAAACAATAGTTAATAAAAACATTTGTTCAGTGATTACAAAATAAACTATTCAATTGCTGTTTATCACTTGTAAGTGATCAGAGTAAATCTCGTTTCTAACTATATAGCTGTTCCATGCATATCACAAAGCACTTCACATTGAAAATACCACTCAATGATACACTACACGTTTCTTGTATATATTATGACAGCTTGTTTGCACAGAAATGTTGATTAATTTGTCGAATAACTGTAATTGCATTCAACTGCAAATGACACATGATAAGTGTGCTTTTCACGATCATAATCATAATTGTGATGATTGTAATGATTACACTGATATGCAAATTGCATGGATTTTCACACGAAAAGTAAAACAATTATCTGAGTGATATGTGTGAATGCTCTCAACAGTAGTAAATCATGTCAGAGATCTGTTCTAAAATACATGTGATCGACAGAGTGTCTAGAAATCATCTAGACGATGTGAGGAGATCGTTTCAATCGAGTGAATAACGTTTCACAGATGGAAATCAGATAGAGAAGTAAGGAAACAAGGGAGTAATGTAGAATGACTTTATTGAACTTTGGCATTTTTCAACAGTACACACACACACGAAGATTGTGTTTATCAACGAGGATGATATAGTGGAACTAAATAGTTCCCAACTATCGTCCAATTATAAGTGCAAGTGCAGGTGCAGGTTCGTTCACGTGTTTCAGTTTGATGGAAATAGTCGAAACAGTTGAGAAACTGTCAGATAATCAGAAATACTATATTGAGAGCTCTTATCACTGAACCAATGAGATAGCACACAATCCAGTTCCCACTGTTTCAATCGTCTGATACTAAACATCCTGAAATGTGAGTGACCGAACCGAACTGATCTGTTATTCGACCACACTTCCAAATGGGTCGATGGATTTCAGTAATTAGTGAGTGGAATGTGGAATGTCAATTGCCAGGCTTTGAGTTCAGTTGAGTTTATTTCAATCCGATAGTTCGAAGCACAGTCTTCTGCTCTACCGATTATTAGTCAGATGGTCTACACACAAGATTATGTGTGAGGAAATCACGATGACAAATTGATTGCATTCACACTTTCAATTAATTGAATCACAATCCCACTAACATGAACTGTTTCGTGTTTGAGAGTAGTGCAACTCACATCTCACAGTGGCGTGGATCAAGAAGACAGTCAGTTATAGAAACGAGCTTTCCAATTTTCGACGAGTAAATAAACTTACACATTCTAACTACTGTTACACAAAATACTGTTTTATCGAGTCTTCTTATCAAACGTTAGATGTAAATTTGTAAACAGTGTGACAAATAATTAGGGCAAAACAAATCAGATTCCACCTAATTTTGTTTAATGTTTTGCATGAAACGACACAATTAATTGACCCTATAATTGTTTTAATGACACCCTAAATTGATTATTGATTGCATCTTATGTCTGGTTGTTTGATTGTATATAGAATTTTCTTCTCGCTAATCATTTCCGTGTAATTTTTTCATAAGATTTATTCAGTCTACTTGTGTGTTTTGTAGCTCGTCAAACTGTTTCGGATTTTAAGTTGATAGCATTATTCTCATATTTTATTTTGTTAGTGATGTTTTATATTAACAAACAATAGATGTTTTTGTTGGTTTATAATCAGGCTTACTCGTTACCGCCATAATAACTAGTTATAATGTAGTCACAATATATGGTTTACTTTTTCTAGAAATACGAAAAAGTTTTTGAATATTTCTCATTAAAAATGGGAAAAGTTTATTTGTTTATTCTTCTAAACCCTCTCAGTATTGAAATGCTATTCACGACCTATATTTATTAGATTAATTAAATAACCTGTTAAATAATGAATTATTTTGTTAAAATAGAACTATGTCAGTGGTATTGTGTACGTATCGTTGTCAATCGTTGAAAAAATAGTTGTCCGTCAAACAATTTAACTGTTTCTTTTATCGGTTGCTCATTTGAATGACATATTCATTTCTTATTGAAACGCTGTATATTGTTTCCACAACTTTTTTTAATTATGGTCTTTTATTTTGTTTTTACAATGAATTTATTTAGTTAAATGTGTCTATCAACTTTTCTTTTATGTTGAATATGCAAGACCAAACTATAGATCTTATATTTATCCTGCTAGGAATTTAGGAAATCACACTCGTAATGCCTAAAGATGTCATTGTTTGTGTCTACTTAGGTTCAAATGACTGATGATCTTTGTCAATGTATTCAAGAATGCTTTTCTAGTTTATATTCAGGAGTTAATAAAGCGTACTATCGATTAGTGCTATCTCAGATGTAGCTCTCAGTTGGACACCAACGCCATCAAAACCAGATGATGCCATAGGGTCCTCGAACAAACGCACGTGAAACAGGCTTCCCAAAGTGACTGATGTAAAACAAATTCGTAGTAATTTAATGAATTCCTGTATGGAGGCTTGGGATAAACAACATACATCGAATTCAAACTTTTAAAGACATAGTCAACCTTATATGTTGTCTAATTTTCATCAGCGTGCAAACGTTTAGGAAGCCAGTTTGAAAAGCCTATGTGGTTTCAGAAAGGCTGATCTCAAATTTCTATCCGATGGTAGCATTCAACTTTCGACCGATCAGTAACTTTAAGACGTTTAGTCGACCTTCTGTATGAGTTGGAAAGTCACTTATTATACAAAGTGGGAGAGAAAACGAATAGACAGGTGACGTACTGCAAAATATAAACTAACGTTATCAAGTTATTGCAAATATAATTTGTGAGGGTGCAGATTGAAGCGAGAGTAACTTTTTTCATTTACCATCATTTATCGATTTGTGTGTGGGCTGAGATACCACCTGGATTCCTAGAGTGAGGTAGGCAGTTTTCTTAGGGAGCCACTTCAGAGCCTTTAACCTAGAGATATAATCCACAAGGCGGTGGAGCAACGTTAGGGCACGCGATCCCACGGTAGCCGATGACCAAGAATAGGTTTATGAACCATCTGTCCCCTCAGGATCTTGGGGTCCATATACACTACTGGTTTGCAATCAAGGTTTTCCAACCCTTCCGGATGGACCTTACGAACCCCCAACCCAGTTCAAGAACCGGATATTTGCTTTCCATTCTCTCAACTTTGCAATTAACACCGCCACAAGAAACCAGTGAGTACAACTTCCCTAGCAGTTGGCATATATGTATATATATGTGGTCGTATTAAAGAATTTCTAGAGGGAGAGTGGAATCTTCGTTATTTCTGCCGTACCTTGGCAGGTTGAAGCCACAGAAGTGTTTGTACACATTTTTCTAAATATAAAAGTACAGCAATATGTACTTAGTTAAATATATGCGGCCATTAACATTCATAATGATTATTATTTTCATTACTCGTTAAAGATTACTTTTCATCATAACCTGCGAGGTGTTTCTAGACTGTTCGTAATCGATGTTTTCTTGAAAATGTCATCAGTCAAGGGAATAATTTTTGTCTATATGACTTACGATTACTAAACAGTTAATGTATTTAATTCATCTTAGATGATCTACTTCTTTGCACGATTTGATGACTTTGCTTTCATATTAAATTACTTGTAAAAAGAAGATGGAAATGGATAGGACATACATCACGGAAATCACCAAACTGAATCATGAGGCAAGCCCTAACTTGGAATTTTGAAGTTACATGGAAAAGAGAAATGCCAAAGAAAACATTACGTCGGGAAATAGAAGCAGATATGTAAAGGATGAATAACAACTGGAAAGGATTGACCAGGACGTAGTTGGAGGTAGACTGATGGTGGGCGGCCTATGCTCCTCCACGAGGATTAACAGGCATAAGGAAGTGAGTAAAGAGTTCCAAATAGAAATTTAATTTAAGCATCACACTTCATTAGAGCAGAAAAATGTGGTATAATCTATTTCATTTCACACTGTAGCTAAATAAAAATGAATATAGGTTTTTATGTATAATTAATTGATCAGTAATATAATTTTATGGATAACTATTGTTAGTTAAAAACTACTGAGAATAGTAAAATAGTGAAAACCAATTTATTTGCACCGTATAATTATTTTAATCGCTATCGCATGTCTATAAAATTCTTTTTCGGTAATGAAATAGTTTGAAAATCCTCAGAATGAATCTTATGAAATAAATCAAAGTTGAAATATTTGGCAACGAAATATTTGCATATCTAAAATGTATATTATTCGTATCCGTATTTCAGCAAATGTGATATTATTATAGATGCTCAATGAAGTGTAACATTCACGGTTTTACTAAGAAGAATGTTTGTTAGAGTTATTTTCACAGTTGAATGGTACTACTTTATTATGATAGTTAAGTTTTTATGGTACCAATAGTAACATCAAGGCAAAACGCACTTTATATGAGACTAGTTTGGATGTTTTTTTGGATCAAATCGTTGAAAATACAAATGAGATAAAGTTTTGTGAATATTTATTATGATGTAAATTTATTTCAATCGATTGATAGAATTCTACACGAAGTTTTTTTAGTTTCTTTGTTTAGGCAAAACTGTTTGTTTATATTTTAAAAATCCTGAATTTGACTTCAAAACTTTTTTCATAATGTTTAACCAGAAATTCTGGTTATGCAAATATTAACGCCGTTCTTCTGTGGTTATATGGGGAATTAATTTCATCAATAAATGACAAAACTAAATGAAAACATATAAAATATCGTATCTAATGTTTCAGTAGGCGTAAAGACAGCAGAAAATGTATATAAACAGTAGGAATATTCTGTTACTTAAGAGGAGCTGTACACTAACATAAAGATTATTCATTTTATATAAACACTGGTTATCATTTTCAGATGAATCGATTACCGAGTTCTCCTGAATTTCGAAGTTGAAAAGAAGAAAAATTGCAGGTCATTTTACATGCTACTTATCTAAATCTGATCTCAACATTATTGAATTACAACAATCTCCTAAATATTCTTCATTAAAGGGTTAAAAAAATCTATCTTACAAGACAAAGTGAACAATCTATCATTATTTATAAATCCTGATAAATTTCATTATATAAATAAAGTAATTAAAATGAATAAGGTTATTAACATTTCAATTAGAAAGTATACTACTACAAATTATTAATTATATACATGTTTGTCCTTGAACTGCTACAGTGCAATAATTCTAGGCGTATTGCTTGGATATGAATGATACTAATGACTGATTTATACATATGTATCAAGTAAAATTCACTTTACTGACATTGATTTTGACCAGATAACTAATGTGACTTATCATATTCAGCAAATTATTGAGAGTAATTTACTTGTTATATGGTATCTCTAATCATAACTATATTTTGATAGTTTAAGGAAGCTAGTAATCGTACAAAAAGTTTAGGTTACATTATTTAACACCTCAAACGTGTTAGTTGATGGTAAGCTATTCTAACAAATGATAAAGTATAAAACACTTACTAAACATTTCAAATATTAAAATTCTTTTTGTTGAACCAAACATTATATTAAAATAACACATGTAGATCTTACTTTTCATCGTTCTTAATGAATATATAGCATTTTGTTGAAAAAGAGAAACCACTTATATGTATACCTGTTCTGATCATCCAGAGAAACTTAATTCTTCCTTTATAATGTTTCATTATTTTGTTCCATCTTTTTGGTTTTTGGAATGCGCTTCTTTTTCGGCACTGAGTTATCCTTCACGATAGAATTGTCGTCGTAATTTTAACAGTTCTCTTGTTACAAAAAATATATGTACAATACTTATTAATCCAACTAGTATGCAGATCATTGTGATTGGATAATAAAAAACATTTAATTTACCACACTTAATTGTAAAAGCAATTGCAATCAGTGGAATAACTATGCCAAATAATAAGTCACACATTACACAAAATAACATTAATGATGCTGATGGAACTGATTCATAATGATATAATCCCATAGCAAGAGTACCAATTAATAGAAAACCTGCAGAACACCATAAACCAACACAGTAGCATTGTATACGATATGTATAAATTATGTAACCAACTTCAATGGTTGAACAACATAATCCCATTATTAATAATAATAAACCTGTTATCATGGTAAAAAAATCCCATCTATCTCCATTATCACACCAATATTTACTGCATAGATCTTCATTTTCTGAAATCGGTTCACTTTCTACTATTTTAGTTTTTGGCATTATTTTAATTTCCCCTTTGATAAATAGAATCTATTTAGATAGAATTTCACGGTTTTTAACAGAAAATGTTTCTCTTCAGAAGCGAGATTTAATGCTCGCTCTATTGAAAAATGTATTTGAAATGTATTTGAAATGAATGTTTATTTTCTTCTATACAAAAATTGAAAATTCAATGTTTATAGATTATAAAGTACTTTATAATCAGCTCTAACATACAATTGTACAATAATACTCTTCATACCGTGCTACTTTCGGTAATATATATATGAGTAATAGTATTTTGCATCAAATAAATAGCAGTATGTGATTGGTTGATCAGTCCTCTTTAATTTTTGTTTATCACCACTTAAAACATAAATTCGAGTGACCTTGATAATCTAAATCTAAGATTGTCTTAATGAGTTGCATTTTAATTTTACCATTAAGTTACATCTTTAAGTGTACTTATATTATGTAATTTTTGTAAGTTTTATTATTAAGATCAGATCAATGCAATTGACAAGTTGAGTTAATTATTTATCGATGCATTAATAAACAAATAGAATATCAGAAGGGGTTTTGTGGATATTATAGTAATTTTAATAGTTGAGATCATGAGTCAATTGAAGCTAAACCACCATGGAAAACCTGGAAGCACTGGACGGTCATTTCGTCCTCCTGTGGGACTCCTCAACAGTAGGCATCCACGATCCCGCCTCGCGAGATTCGAACCTAGGATGAGATGACCATTCAGTGCTTCCAGGTTTTCCATGGTGGTCTGGCTTCAATTGACTCGTGATCTCAACTATTAAAATAGAATATCATTTTCATTTCTATAAATGTATGGCTATCATGTTTGTATCGACTGACAGATGGACTGTATGTGATTGCTTTGTATTTATTGAATAATATTTATCTAATTATGTTCGATGTCATCTACTTTCTTCAAACACTGATATATATATTCGTAAATACTACATCAGTTTTGAACGAATTTGAAAACTTCTATTTCTTCACTTACAATAAATTAAGTTTTTCTTAAAAAGAAAATTTGATTGTTTACATCTTTGAAGTGTTGACATTTAATTCTCAGTTTATCTCTTTTGCTGAATACATCGAATTAATTAAATTTGAGTATATTTTATACACTGAAATATGATATACTTTTAAGCATGAAGATCTACATATCTGTCTATAAAATTTCATTATACACAGATTTTACTGAAAACAAACATTTTGTTTTATGAGTCAGTTGAAGCTAGACCAACAGGTTTTCTATCGTGATCTAGCTTCAATTGACTCATGAATTCAACTAATAAATTACTATCATATCCACAAAATCCCTCTCTGATTTTCCTTTATTCCGACAAAAAATAAATCATCTTAATAAAAATTATTGGGTATTCTGCAAATAGTGTTAATGATGTTTATTAATTTTCAAATAATCAAGAGACCTATGTGCACTCTATTCGAGCAATGTGTACACTTGAAAGATGTCTTATCAAAGTTATGTATCATCTTATTTTCTTGTTATAAATATGGGATTTATGCCAATCTGATCACTAGTAAGACACAACGTTACAAGTATATTACTGTTATAACATTAAATGGAAATTTTTTTCATAGATTGACCATGTCAATAGGATTTCATCAAACATGAAAGTTACCGAACGGAAATGAAAAGGACGCTTTGTATGATAAATTATTGTACTTATCTGAAACGATATGTGTATTGATTTTACAGGAGTGCACAGGTAAATTACATAAGACATTTTATAACTCATAGTATTATCAAGTTTCAAATGAATTATTTAACGGAAAGCAGTTTACAGGTAAATAAATGATTTTATTCTTTCGAATGATGATAATGCAATTAGTTTAAAACAGTTAGTTGATTTCACTTGAGATTAAATCGAATACTCTTTGAATAGTTGGTTAAAAATTTATATTTTAGTGTGGGAAGGATTGATAAACTTTATAAGTATATATCACTGACAAACGAATTTCCGATTCGCTTTCCATGAGATAAAAATGACATCGAAACCCTATCACTTAAAGATAAGTTATTATGTGTTTACTTACATACACCAAAACCTGTTTGCTAAATTGGTGGAATATGAATCTGTTCTTAATTATAATAAAATTAGAAGTGGTAATAGAAATTTATTCCACTGGTTGACATACACAAAATCTGTGAATACTAAACATGTATTCTTAAGTTTACATTATGCTCATCAGCAAATTTCCAACAAGTGGATAATAGTAGCAGCATACCATACGACGATGTCAATAAACAGAAACTTAAAACAAATAAACTCAACGGACAAATAATCAGAATTAGGCGTATTACAGTACCTTTTGGAAATGATTAGCGAGAAGAAAATTCTATATACAATCAAACAACCAGACATAAGATGCAATCAATAATCAATTTAGGGTGTCATTAAAACAATTATAGGGTCAATTAATTGTGTCGTTTCATGCAAAACATTAAACAAAATTAGGTGGAATCTGATTTGTTTTGCCCTAATTATTTGTCACACTGTTTACAAATTTACATCTAACGTTTGATAAGAAGACTCGATAAAACAGTATTTTGTGTAACAGTAGTTAGAATGTGTAAGTTTATTTACTCGTCGAAAATTGGAAAGCTCGTTTCTATAACTAACTGTCTTCTTGATCCACGCCACTGTGAGATGTGAGTTGCACTACTCTCAAACACGAAACAGTTCATGTTAGTGGGATTGTGATTCAATTAATTGAAAGTGTGAATGCAATCAATTTGTCATCGTGATTTCCTCACACATAATCTTGTGTGTAGACCATCTGACTAATAATCGGTAGAGCAGAAGACTGTGCTTCGAACTATCGGATTGAAATAAACTCAACTGAACTCAAAGCCTGGCAATTGACATTCCACATTCCACTCACTAATTACTGAAATCCATCGACCCATTTGGAAGTGTGGTCGAATAACAGATCAGTTCGGTTCGGTCACTCACATTTCAGGATGTTTAGTATCAGACGATTGAAACAGTGGGAACTGGATTGTGTGCTATCTCATTGGTTCAGTGATAAGAGCTCTCAATATAGTATTTCTGATTATCTGACAGTTCCTCAACTGTTTCGACTATTTCCATCAAACTGAAACACGTGAACGAACCTGCACCTGCACTTGCACTTATAATTGGACGATAGTTGGGAACTATTTAGTTCCACTATATCATCCTCGTTGATAAACACAATCTTCGTGTGTGTGTGTGTGTACTGTTGAAAAATGCCAAAGTTCAATAAAGTCATTCTACATTACTCCCTTGTTTCCTTACTTCTCTATCTGATTTCCATCTGTGAAACGTTATTCACTCGATTGAAACGATCTCCTCACATCGTCTAGATGATTTCTAGACACTCTGTCGATCACATGTATTTTAGAACAGATCTCTGACATGATTTACTACTGTTGAGAGCATTCACACATATCACTCAGATAATTGTTTTACTTTTCGTGTGAAAATCCATGCAATTTGCATATCAGTGTAATCATTACAATCATCACAATTATGATTATGATCGTGAAAAGCACACTTATCATGTGTCATTTGCAGTTGAATGCAATTACAGTTATTCGACAAACTAATCAACATTTCTGTGCAAACAAGCTGACTGTCATAATATATACAAGAAACGTGTAGTGTATCATTGAGTGGTATTTTCAATGTGAAGTGCTTTGTGATATGCATGGAACAGCTATATAGTTAGAAACGAGATTTACTCTGATCACTTACAAATGATAAACAGCAATTGAATAGTTTATTTTGTAATCACTGAACAAATGTTTTTATTAACTATTGTTTTGAGAGCGTAGTTTGGTGACTCAACGAATTAGTAGTTTAGGTGCTTTTTATGTAACATTTTACTCATTTTTTTCAGATGATATATTGTATCATATCCTAAACTGTTTTCATACAAAGCTTTATATGTTATTTGTACTGTTATTCTGGTTAGACTAAATTATGGAGAACCTTTGAGCGATGCTAACGTGACCTTAAGTTTGTCCACTTGTTAACCACGATCAAATAATGGTTTTAAACCGGTTTGACAAATTAGAATTGTGATTTACAGTTGATGGTTAAGGTTAGGAATTTGACTTATGTTTTTATCACGAACTAACATCAGCTATAATGAAAAACTCTATGTAACTAAATGGATGAGTGAATTTCGCGCTAAAATCCGTAGCCTGTTATTTTATACATGATTCGTTCGTCCACAAATTATAGTCTCGCCGCACATCATCATTAATAAGTTTTTCGATAAAACCTGTATTTGTGTGATTATGTGATGAGTTTGCCAAATAATGATTCATTTGTTTATTATCAATCACTTTATCACGTAGAATGTAATACCTTCAAACGTTCTCACGAATTTTTGTGTCACCCGTCTCTACTAGGATACAAATTAAAAATTCGCGTGTATTACTGGATGTTATGTGAAATTCAACGGCTTTTATTTTTTATATTTCTTTCTCTATGTAGTTAATTCTTGGACTAAATCGCTATATTAAGAATCATTTTCGAGCAATCATTTGGATTGGATTAGTCACTCTACACCAACTTCCTTGACTATGACAAAGCATTTGACGGTGTGGATTGGAGAAACTTATGGAACATACTTTGACACTACAATGTGCTTGAGAAGATCGTCAGCGTTATCCTGAATTCATACGACGGATTACAGAGGAGAGTCGTGCATGGAGGATAGCTAACAGACACATTTCATTTGAGGGGCGGAGTCACACAAAGCTGTTTACTCCTCTCTTTGCTCTTTCTTCTGGTGGTTGACTGAATTTTTGAAGACCTCCCCATCTCGGGGTAAGCATGAAATACAATAGACAGGTTGGATGCAAATATACGACTTAGGCTTCTCAGATGACTCAGCTCTTCTATCCCATACACAATAACCAATGAGGGTAGAAACAGCTAGAATAGCAGCAGTCTCTACTACAGTAGACCTCAGCACACTCAATGAAAAATGTGAGATTTTGAAATGCAACACAGCGAGCACGAACTTAATCACACTTGATAGAGAAGTTAAGGAATAGGTGGGAACATTTGCATACCTGACCAGCATCATTGATAATGAAGGAGGATCTGGTGAAGAAGTGAATACAGGGATTAGCAAAACAAGGACAGTATTTCTACAGCTGAAGAATA